AAATCGTGTTGGAACACCACCAGACACCACATAAGCTCGTCATTTAAACGATTTTTCTAAGATCTTCTAAAGGTGAAATGTAGCGAACAAACTTTAGTTCCTGCGGCGATCATGAACTCCTTTCCTTCGTCTCAACGAATTGCATTGATCCACTATTTTCCCTTAGCTTAAGAGGCGAACGGTGGAAAATTTATATCCCTTCTCGTGGCGTTCGAAAACACAGCAGCTCGTAGCCACAGCTAAGTAAAACAGACCAGATCAACGACATCAAAGCCTGAATAGCCTCGCTCTCATGCGACTCGTCCCGGCGCTGACAGAGCGGTCCGCCATATTTGCATTAGGTGTATTTTACACTCCCAGGTACTGCTAATGACCTGTAAAACACTTTTTTGGTTCAAGAGTTCCCTCTACCCAAAATAAATTGAACCTCAAACCTCTGAATCAGCAGATATGCATATTACATTTGGACATGCACCCCTTGAAACCATGAGCCAAAATTAGCCTTCCAAATTCACAATGTCTTCTGCTTAAAAAATTATGTTATTGAAAACTATGTTATTGATTATTATTGAGGTAGGATAACATGAAAGAGCAAGCATGGGCAGGGAGGGGCAAAACGCTCACTACAGTCCACTTTCGCTCGTAAGAAAAGAAACACATGACCACGGATGACAGTTCTACTAGCTTCGACAAAAAAAAAAAAAGATTTGACCAAAAAAAGATCTGCACTGTCCTTCACTTTTCAATCTTACCCGACCCTGGCTAAGTGTAAGTTTCTCCCGCATACTTTCTCTTGCCTGGCGAAGGAGTAAGGAGGCGCTTTCCATTGGACAAAAAAATTCCGCTTTGCGTGCATTATAATTACCGGCACATGGCGTAAAAACACAAGAAGCCAAGGCCTTTGTAGATCAACCAGATTATACTTTAGGGTGCGTTCCTTTGGGATGATCTGGATCAGGATCAGTGATCCAGGATCACTCAGATCATGGTGCATCAAAGGGGCCTATAAGTCCACTCTGGTCACGGATTCATCGGCTCCTTTG